TTCAAATCCGTGGAGTTTAGTTTTCTGGCTTGTGCTTAGTGTTTAAAACACACACACACACACACACACACACACACACACACACACTCACACACACACCAGGCAAATCAAATGAGTTAACGCTCTGCCGACTTCCTCTAGACATTGACCCTGGGGGTCAAACTCTTAGGAAAATGATGCCTGCTTTTCCATTCTCCTAATTCCAATCCCCACCAACAAGCAAGTCCTTTCTCTGAGTGGAAGCTCACAAAGAATTTCTCGAGAGAATATGTAGCTGTGTTGGCAACAAAATCCTCTCTGCAAAATGAGGAGAGAGAGTTGTTAACTGATGAGTCAATCCAGCTTTTATAGTAGTTTATCTTCGTGGTATTTCCAAGAGCATAAATGTTATTAGAAAAAATAGACGGTCATGACAGGAAGAACACAGTTTTTAAAAAAAACAGGAACACTGAAGCCAAAAGCAATTTACTTTGCCAGTAACTGGTTACATTTCCTTTTGTTTTATTATTATTATTGCAGGAGTTGGGGTTGAGATGAAAGTTTCCCACACCTGCGCTGACACAGAACTTGTCAGAACCCATTGTAAAGCAAATATAGAAGTGAATGACTGGGACTCAGTTATAGACGCTAAGAAAAAAAACACACCCCAAAACTTGTTTTGCTATATTGTCTTTTTAAAAAGAGACTATAAGTCTTTAATATGTGAAGGAGTTGAAAAAAGGGAAATAACAAAACATAACACAAGGGTTAGATGTCAAAGTAGCTTGGAGCCCCCGGTGGTCGCTGATTCTCCTGGGATTAACACCTATAGAAATAGCAGTGACTTCCCAAAGGTGAATACGTGTTAATTTCGTGGCACTGAGGAAGAGGAACAGATGGGCAGTCATAGAGGAAAGGTTTTTTAAAATAGCCACAGAGATCTTTCAGGGATTGGGCAGGAGAGTCAGCAGGCCTCTGCAAGGGGCCATGGGCATGGCTCTCTCAGTTTTATTAGAACTCTGTGACTTTGGTGGAAGTCTTGTCACCTACTGCTGAGTCAGGACCCACCGGTGGGGTCCCTGCTTGTTGTCAAGTCTGTAGGGTGCTGTTTGTTGCTTGAGACGGGCCGATCTGTGGCATTAGGGAGTGTTTTCACTCCCTGGTGACTACCAACCCAAGTTATTAATATAAATACCTCATGGTGAGACAGAGTGAGTGTGTGTGTGTGTGTGTGTGTGTGTGTGTGTGTGTGTGTCCATCTATTAGAGAGAACAACTTAAAGCAGAGGCTCTGGATAAAGTCCAGGTGCCTGGGCTGGAATCCTCCTGTTACCAGAAACCCACTGGATAACCTAAAACAAGTCATTTCAACGCTAGCTCAGTTTTCAGGTCTGTAAAATGGGATTCATAATCGCACTTTCTGTGGGTTTGCTGTGAGTTGTAAATGAGTTACTGTATGCAAAGTTCTGGCTGGTACAGAGAAAGTGCATGGTCCGTAAGGATCAGCTCTTATTATTGTTAATGTATGATATTAAAAACAATCATGCAAAGAGCATTGCCTGAACTGTGTGAGTGAGCCAGGCCAGGGATGGCTAGTGGATTAGATACACATGGAAAAGTAACTTGTGCATTCACTGTTCCAGCCAGTTATGCTATTGGTAAGTGTACTGCCGGCTTCCCGGAATGGCTTTGCTGGTCTCCTCTAAAGTACTGGAGCTGGTGTTGCTCTGGAGTCTAGGATTTAGGTTCTCTCAGTAGGTATGTAGCCCTTAGCTGTTGATGGGGCTTAAGTTGGTCCAGGGCAGCTGGGACCAGGTGGGGCTGTTTTCTCCACCTGACCCCTGACTACTATTAAATCATAAAGCACTTATTTTTATTTGTTTATCTAGCAAGTGATTTCTTTTCTTGACCCTGGAGGAAAATAAATGTAACTTAGGGGCTAAAAATTTTGGTCTCCCCAAAAGCCAGCCTCCCAGTCTCAAAGCATCACTTGGGTTCTATGGATCTAAAAGGTCTCGAACTGCACTATGGGAGCTTGGATTTTAAACATCTGCTCCTCGGGGCATTTGCTCACTGCATGTGGGACAAGATTCTGGCCCCCGCAGGAGGCCAGGCATTTTGGCTTAACAGTAATGGGGAACTAAAGGCTGCAGGATTTCTGTCTCAATTCCCACAGCAAACTCAAATTGCTGGTTTATGTCCCCAGAGCTCAAGGGTCAGTACTAAAGGTGAACACAGTTTTACAGGTGTCCAGGGTGACGGGTATACACGTGGTCAGGTGAGCAGGCCCAGCTCATGAAGACAAAGAGGAGATATATGGGCATCTATCTCTATTTCCTTTAGTCCCTCATTCATTCAACAAATTCATATTATGCAATGCCGCCTCCTGGATGTCTGCTGGGGCAGATGAGAGAGGAGTCTGACCTGGTCCTGTCCGTAAGGACTCTCAATGTAGTATAATTAGAAGCCATAAAACACAGCTAAAGTACAAAGAATAATGTGAAAAGTGATACCCAGCATAAGAGAAGGTTAGAAAAGGAGTCCAGAGGGCAGGCTCAAAGAGGAATTTGAGTTTGAGACTTGAGTGATTGGTGGGATTTAGCCAACATACCTGAAATATCAGTGTACTTGCCTTCCGAGGAACAAGAGGCTTTTTTCTCTTGACCAAATCCCATGTAGAGTTTGAAGTTTGTGTGACCAGAATATTAGGTGCCCGTGTGTTCTAAATTTGTAATTCTCAGAATCTGCTGGGGAAGGACATGTGCTTCTCCGGTTCTGAAAACAGCTCAAAGAATGGAGAAAACAGACCCGATTTGGGGATGACTTATTGTCAGTTCCCGGAACCTTTGTCTTTATTTAAAACAGCCTGTTCAATGCAAGTTCTCTCTATCTCAAAAGGCCTTTGGGATTTGAAAGCTTTTCTGGAAATGAATGCCTTTTAGGTTCAAATGCTTTTTTTTTTGCCAAAATGTTAGGAAGGAAAGATCACAGTAACAAGTGTTAGAACAGAGGCGACTTTGTTTTGTTTTCTTTCAATGAAATGCCTCACATCTACCCCAAGTTTGTTCGTCAGCTTTCTGCTCTGCTATTATTTTGATACGGGGACTTGAAAGTACAGTCCTTCCCCAGCGATCATTAAAGCTGAGCCCTCGGGGCAGTTGTGGCTACATGTCTGTGCTACAAGTCTTCCAACCCAGAGTCCACACCCTGGCTCCAGGCTGAGGACCCTGTCAGTCCTGGAAGGTGGCCTCACGCTCCCACAGGGGGGCGGGAGGTCAGGATCCACAGAACAGGCCAGATGAAGTCACCATCCCGTGCAGGGAGGTGGAGAGAGCTTAGCCCTCTCTGCCAGTCTGGCAACTCCAGCAGAGTCCTCAGCGCTCATCCCACACACTCGGTGCTAGTCACTGCTGTGTGTTTACATGAGTAATGAAGCTGCCGGGGGAGGGGTGTAGTAAGCCCAGCGCGGAGCCTCGCAGCTCTCATTCGGAGGGAAGCTGACATCCACACCAAGTCAAGTCCAGACTTCAGACTTCCAGGGACGTGGCCCGGGAGCGGTCAGGCATATGCTGTAGCTTTCGGGAGCCCAGGCATCCTCAGGCAGATGTTTGTCGACTGGAATGGGTAATCGCTACTTTCTCTTTGCTTGATTTGTGTTTGTGGGCTTGTTTACCTCTGTAATTCCAGGCTGGCTGGAGATGGTTTGTACTTTCAGACAAACGTTTTGGGGAAATGAGAGAAGGGAGAGGGGATTTGGGAGGAGGGGGGTCTGAGCCGGAGCTCCAAAGCCACTTTTGAAAACTTTTGCCTGATTGTAAAGGCAGATCTATTTACGGGGTTTTAGGAATAGCCAACTGTCATCCATAGCATAAAATCAAATTAGTGGGATTAACTGTGTTTGTAAAATGAGTACAATATAAAATGTCCTGAAACCACTGGTTAACTGCATGGCAATTAAGAGGTTTCGAACTGTCCGGATTTGGCATTGTCACAATCATCAAGAGTGTGGGTACCTACCTGGGAAGGTCTGAAAGGAATTGCTTGGGGTATAATTCATTCGTTTGAAATTCTCCAAGGGCTAGCTGGATAGTTGGTTTGTTTTACTTTTGTTCGACTTGGGTGACTGATGAAGTTAAATGTGAAAGCTGATGCCGGACAGCCCTAGTCCTCAGTAAACAGCAGCCTGTATTCCTCTGCTTTCTGTGTGGATCTTAAAGAGATTCAAGCTCAACATCAAGGTTGAAATATAACTTTGATTTGCATCTTGTCTGTGGCTTTTAGAAAGTATAAATAATCTCCACGGAATCTGGCTAACCCCAGTGTGATCTTTGGAAGTTATTTTAAATAACCCTCAAGATGGTCATTAAAAAATATATTGAGAAGGAAAAAAGAGCATGCTGGGTTACATGTATCTGCCAGATTGGTTCAGATTTGAAACAGGCTGGTCTCAATATTATTAGTAAATACATGTAATGATTTTTTTTTCAGATTGTTATTGCAAATACCTCTCTCTGCAGCTCTCTCTTTCTCTCTACTTATATGTATAACTTGAGAAAATGCTCATGTCTCCATATTTGAAGAGAGATGTTTTTAAACATAATATTACTGTGATACTGTCATGGGCTGGCATATCATTTAGGTTTCTGAAAAAGAGTCAAAACAAAACAAAGAATAATCTTGGAGCCTGGCTCAGGGCTGTCGTCCGCCCAACCTGTTTCTTTTCTAACAATGGGGAAAGGCATTTTCCTTTCATCATCCTTTAGAGCTGAGGGCTTCATTTTATTTATATTAATTAGACATGTGACAGTGTAATAGATTAGCTTTGGGAAAGAAGTGCAGACGTGCATGGTCTTCCAAGGTGCAGCCCTTCAGGGAGAGAAGCATTAAATGAGGGCTGGCTACCACAGATGCGTACATGTGTCTGCACGCGTGATGGGGACCACTGGAGTAAGATGCTGGGTTTTGACTAAGGAAATCCATGCCAATGAAAATGTATATCAATTGCTCTCCATTTGTTTTCAGCGCCGAATCTTAAAGGCAGACCACGCAAAAAGAAATCATGCCCACAGAGAAGAGATTCATTCAGTGCTGTGAAAGATTCCAACAACAATTCGGATGGCAAAGCCATTGTCAAGGTACAGTTGTTTGCGCCATGGTGTTCATTTTGCTGCATAGTTTTATTTTCCTCTTTCTCTTTATCTCTCTACTCTGTGTGTCTTAGTGGCAGTTTGCAATTCCAGATCTAACTTTGGTATTCACAGCTCTCTGCTATGTCTATTCTCACCACCTCTCCTGCCTTGGGAGGTGGAGGGTGGGGGAGGGAGGTAAGCATTTTGATTAGTCAACAGAAAGACTTCCCACCTCCCAGTTTGGCCTGTTGGGTGAAGGACAGATGATTAAGCGCCCACGTCATTGAGGCTGAGATTTCATAGTAGGTGACACAATGACATAGTTTACCCTGCTTGTATCAAAAATAGACCAGCTGAACCATCCTTTTTCTGAATGTGTTCAGCTAAATCTGCTGCAGAGATTAATGGAGGATGAAATTAGAAATGGCTAGAATTAATCGTTTTAGTTCCATATTTTTATTTCAAAATCACCTCTAACTTACCTTAGAGTAAAATTAAAGACACATAGCAAGATGTTTACATGTATACATATACTCATCCATACATTTATATGTTTTTTAAGATCTCTCTTTTTAATTAAATTTATTGGGGTGACATTGGTCAACATGATCATATAGGTTTCAGGTGTGGGTTTCTATATCACAAGATCAGTATATCTTAATGCAGAATAAAGGTCCAAGTTCAAGGCTACTTGTTGAGGACGCAGGCCCATTTTTGCCCCGGCATTCTTAGGAATTCTGAAAGTGTGAGCCTGAAGTATTTAGCACCAGGAAGTGTGAAGTGCCACTTCATATTTTCAGACCTATCTTTTTTACTTTAGTGAGTTTGGATCAGATTTCTACGGTTCCGTTTATGGGGTGTTTGCGTTTAGGTGTTGTTTCTGTGCCAAAGGCAGCAATAGTCCCTTTAGGATCTGAATTGAAGACTGGATATCAACTGATACCACATTTCCAGATTGAAGGACTAAGCTTATGGAAGTGGGAACATTTTGATTATTGGCGACTTTGGAAGATTCTGATGTAGAAAAACATGAATTCAGTTCTATGTTGAAAATCTACTGTTTTTCTGCCACGTACTCCACGCCTCCTCCCAGTGTAAGGAAACAAATCCTCAACATTCACATTCTGTAAATCTTATCTTCATGGGGCATTTCTGAGGCTGCTTTGTTATCATTTCTTCATGCTTCCAGGATTGCAAAGTGTTACAAAGAGATCAACCAGGAGAAATGTATATTTTCTGGCTAAAACAACAACAACAAACTTCTTTCCCTAAAGTTATTTTTTTGTTCTGTTCATTTAACCATCTGAAAGTGAGTCCACCTGAATACCAAGTATGACATTTTCTAATAATTTGGACACTTCGCTCCTGGAGCTGCCTATCTAGGGCTTTGGTTTCCATGGTCTTTGAGGATGTCAGCCGGAACAGTTTATTCCCTATGATGTGGTTTGCAATACAATAAAGAATGGAGTGAGAAGGCTTTAAGATTGTAACATTCAGCAGAGCTTGTACTGCTGATGTCTTCTGTTGGCTCCCTGCCCCATACTTCTAAGATGACATCATGTGTTTATCCCGGCATTTCCTATATGTACCTGAGCCCAGCAGGGTGAAGCTCCCTCTCATGTCACTTGGAGTCACTACCAACGGATGCCTCTGGGAGTTTTATAAAACTCATACAACTGACCTGAAAGCAAACCCTACAACATCTCTCTCTCTGGAAAGGCAGCTCAGGACTCACACGAAGACCCACAAAACTAAAGAGAACAGGAGCCTGCTCTGTATTTGATGTTCACTGACTTATCCTTCGTAGGAGTGATGGTCTTCAAGCCATTTCTACCCCAGCTCCCACCAGTGCAGCCTTTCAGAATTTTTACCTGGAGGAGGATTATCCTTCCATCGTTGGTTTCGATGGTGAATGTATGGATATCCCACTGCAGCCAGCTCCTGGGGACTGGTCTAAATGTCCAACTCTTCTTGGAGTCTTGGATTATAGTCCTGCTATTCCAGAGGGTCAGGCAGGACCTCTTCATATAGAAGAGAGACTGGTAGGTGTGAAGGATGATGGGCTTATTTGATGGCACCAACAAGACCGATATAAAATCCCTACAGAATGAACAAGCCACATCTGGGCCAGGACTACCATTAAAAAGGCATCTGTGTCATCAAGTGGTCTTTTCTCATGAAATGCTACCGTAGAGATTACAAACCTGTGACCATCCGATCCTTTGCTGAGCTGGGAGCATCATTTCAGGTGACCGTTAGTTTGGCTTTATGACCAAGAGCTGTGTGACTTTTTCCTCTCAAAAGTTTCTCAGATAGACCATTTCTAACTACGGCTTTCTGCAGCTCCACCTGGCAGCACGCTCAGCATGAGAATCCACTGGGTTTCTTGGGTGCATGGCTGGAAAAACAAGTCAAGTCATCTACCTGTCTCCATCAAAGGTTGCACTCTCTCAATGCAAACATGAAAACTAGCTTTACAAGACTCTGAGATCACGGCTTCCCAAAGATAGCAAAAGTCACATGGGAAAAGGTTCCACTTCTCTGGAGATGTCATGAAGGTGTCCAGCTCAAGTACTGCTGTTTCCCTTGGGATCATCTTACAGCAGCAGATCTGGGGCCCGAGCCAGTTCATATGGTGACCTACACAGGAGAAGTCTCAGCCCAGGGCTATAATGAAAGGCCTCCACTGATAGAAGGCAAATGACTTCACATCCTATAAGCACTTTCCAAAGGCCAGACGTGTATAACAGGTGGTTTATAGCCTAAAAGGGACATAAAAAGGAAGCAATGTCTCCTTTCATTTACATCACAAACATACTTGCAACATTTTACAAATAGGATGCATTCATTATTTTCCATACTTTTTCATCCCCTTTAATTCTCAGAACTACCTCCACAGTTTATCCCCTCCCGGTTTCCCGAGGAAGAAAATGAGGGTATCCTAGCACATTAGTGACTGAATTGAAATGACTCCAGCTTCTTTCCTGCTGGTTCAGCACATCTCGCTGTCCCGGTTAAAAGCTGGATTAGTTATAACTCCATCCAGCAAAAGGATGTGGTTAATATCAAATCGGTGGTGGCTCATTGAAAACAGTAAATGTGGATTCTTTACTTAGCACTTCCTCAAGCACTTTGGAAACCCCAAAGCTCTTAGTGAGCTCAACAAGTATTAGACGTACAGGTCGGGAGAAACAGAGCTGGTAATTAAGTGTTACCATCAAAAGGGTGGGCTTTCTCAAGGTCAACACGAGGACTAGCTCTCTTTTAATATTTCCGCGGATTAAAATGCTCAGAATGTTTTGGGTAAATGTGAAAAAAGTGCAAAAGAACTTGGCCTGTTTCTCTCCAGAAACAGAATAACGCCCTCAAGGGCTCATTTATATTAACTGAAGAAATGTATGGAGCTAGTCTGAGAAAGGAAGCCGCTGTTCACTTCTTAGGAAGCACCTGGTTCTCAAGGAGACACCAACTGGGAAGACACCAACTGAGGTGCAGGATGGAGTTCTGGAGGTGGCAGCTGCTTCACCTGGAGCCTTTTCCGTGAAGCAGGGAGTCTGAATGGCATTGGGCCTGATTTGTGCGCCACTCCCCGCTTTCCTTCTGTTTCTGGGTGTCTCTGCACAGGTGAGGCAGAAGGTTAGGCAGCTATCTAGACGCTGAGGGATAAACCTCTTTCTCCCTTAACAATGCCATTTCTGACCTAATAATATAGAAAAGTGGCCCATTATCACCACAGGTTGAAGGCTCAGACTGTTTTCTATGCAAACCTTATATCTACTCTTATTTGTACAAGACTGGAGTTTAGAGTGAGGGAGACCTCTAACCCCAGAAGCCTGCCCCTCGCTAGCCAAATGACAATACAGGACCTAGCTGAGCTCCAGTTTCCTCCTCTGTAAGGTGGGGCTAAATACTAGCCTTTTATGGTCTTGTGTACGTTAGGTAGACTGTATGAAGCCCAGCCTTGTCTCTGGCGCATTGTATGTGCTCAGTTGATGAATCGCCTTTCTAAGCTGTAGGTTTTCTAAAACCTAGTCATTAAGATGTGCTTTTTCATTGGAAGCATGTTCTTATTGCCAATTTAATATTTCTATAAGAGTGTCAGTGAAGTAGTATAGTGTTTAAAATCGCAAGCCCTAGAGTTGAGACTACCTGGGTTCCAATCCCACACTTGCCACTTACTAACCGGGACGTGATCTTGTGATTGTGTACGTGTCATTCATCCTCTCTGTACCTCAGTTTCCTCTAAGATGAGAATAATAATTCACCTCCTTAGAGTTGTGGGCATGAAATGAGAGAATACTGCCCTGGCCGGTTTGGCTCAGTGGGTAGAGCATCAGCCTACAGACTGAAGGATCCTGGGTTTGATTCTGGTCAAGGGCACATGCCCAGGGTTGCAGGTTTGATCCCCCGTTGGGGGCGTGCAGGAGGCAGCTGATCAATGATTCTCTCTCATCATTGATGTTTCTATCTCTCTCTCCCTCTGCATCCCTCTTTGAAATCATAAAAAACTTATTTTTTTAAAAAATCGAGATAATACCTAAAAAGTGCTTAGAAGAGCCTGGTTCCTAGTAGCCACTCAAAAAAGGTTGGGACCAGTACAGATTAAAATGGGAGTAACTTTATGATTTCAAAAAGCCCTGGAATGATAGATTTCATCAGAACTTTAGACTCAACAATCTAAAATTTGGCAGTGAAAAAATGATGATCACATAAAGTTTCACTGGATGTTTCCCTTAATATATAATGTTACAATGTACTGAAGTTTGAAAATACTGTTAAGTAAAAATTCTCCATGGAAAAATTTTTAATACCATTTCCACAGGCCCTTAAAAATTAAAATCTTATCTAGAAGCTCAGTTGAATGAGTTGTGCAGGAAGTTTTATTTTTAGCAGGACTCGTCTGAAGATATTAAACTACCGTGTTCACTTGAGAGACTAAGCCATAAAGAAAACCTTTTAAAAGGATACACTTCCCTTTAATAAATAAGCATAGCCTTTTATGTTCTTAGTGCTTGGAAAGGAGAATCTGAAGGGGAAAAAAAGAGAAAGGTCAAAAATCTGAAATGGAAAACGTTGTTGAGTTAGTGGGACATTTTTATTCATATCATTCCCCCAGCCCTTGCCCTCTTCCCTTCGATGTTAGATATGGAGATGTAAAGAATATTGGAATGTACACATTCCCCACGGGCGCACTTGAACTTAAAGTTTGACCCTTTGTACTTCCCCCTTTTACAATTAAAATAGCTCGGCAACTTAGCGTTATATTTAACAGCCATCAAAGGCCTCTTGTAGAGCATGGCAGTGAGGAGGGAACATTAGGTTAGCCTCTCGGTGTGCCAAGTCCCGTATTCGCCTAGAGTATGGAAGGCAGAACATCTGGAGAATTCACCGCCATTTATTTGTTCATTATGGAGCAAGTTCACATTTCCAGGTGACCTCTACTCTTTGTGGCAAGTTCACATTTCCTATTTTCTAGTCTCAGAGCCGACTGAAAAAGCAAGAAGCCCTCATTTAAGGGTGGGATCTTTCCTTTCCTCCTGAGGGTAGAACCGGCTAATGTTCCTGATGCCAGTGTCTGCTGGCATCCATGTGTTTTCCCAGGTTGCTGGAAAGAGTAGCAACAAGATAAGTTTCCTATGAAGAGATGGACTTGTCTTTCATTGTGATACAGAGTGTGGAGTGTAGGACTCTGGGTGAAGAAGTTAGGGATTGTTCAATGACATTCACAGACGGTGCTCCTTAGGAAAAGTATATGAAGAGGCAGGAGAATGGCCCCACCAGATGCCAACACTGTTTCTGGTTTCACATCAACATACTTGGAAGGAGTCTAAAAGAGGCTGGAAAAAACTGGCCACCTGTTTCTATAAATAAAGTTTTATTGGGACACAGCCACACCCATTTGTTTACATACTGCCTGTGACTGCTTTCACCCTAGAGTTGAGCAGTCTCAAGAGAGGCTGTGATGGCCCAAAGTCTACAATATTTACTACTTGGCTTGACAGAAACTCACCATCCCCTGGTCTAAGGCAATTCTTATTCAGTGATGCCTCTAAAAAGCTATTTGAGGGCAAGGGCAATTTATTGGTTCACCCTTCCCACCCAGTGAAATGTGTCACTCACTATGGCTTTGTAAACGGTCCAGGGCTGCGCTTGATTTGATGTGGCATTTTCCCCCCTCTTCCAGGTGAAATGTGAGGCCAGGTCTGCCTTGACCAAGCCGAAGAATAACCATAATAACTGTAAAAAAGTTTCCAATGAAGAAAAACCAAAGGTTGCCATTGGTGAAGAGTGCAGGGCAGACGAGCAGGCCTTCCTGGTGGCACTTTATAAATACATGAAAGAAAGGAAGACGCCAATAGAACGAATACCCTATTTAGGTTTTAAACAGAGTAAGTATACTTGTTTTCATTTTTGAAATATGAAAACTGCTCAGATTCTTTGACTTGGAAAAAAATATTTTTGACTCAGGATTATGTTGAAATCCTAATCTGGGGATGATGATGTTCTCTGTTTATACTAAATCTACAAATCATCCAAGCCAGGAATTTTTTTCCCTTCCTTTTTCCGCTACATTGTTCCCTTCTGGGGCAGTTGCAGTGAGATATTTATAGGCTTGAATCCACTGATTATGACTGGAAATAGACATGTTGAAAGTTTCTCATTTTCTGTTTTGTCAATCTTGAGTGTTTGCAACGCCTTTCTTCTGAGATAATAACATGACGTAGCTTTATCAGACACAGATGTTGCCTGTGAAAAGACGGCTTTTAAAAGGAGGACATTTAGAGGTGGACAAAACAACAACAAAGAGAAAGCATATTTCCTAAGCCCCAGATTTGTTAAGAGATAACAAAAACCTGATGACTTCAGAGGAAACAAGAAGTAAACAAATTTGAACCGAGGACCCAATTTTGAATTACTTTGACATGTCTGTTTAACCGTCCTCAGTATATTTTTATGCAGATTAGGGAACTCACAGCTGAGCAGAATTCCATATAAAAAAGTAGAAGAAACCCAGACCCCGCCTTGATTTCACAAATGAATATATATTTGGCCTCTGTCTGGATTTTGTGGCACATGAAGCGTGAGCCTCTGGCTTGATACAGTATTTTCTCCCAACGTATCTTCCTAGATTAAAACCATGTGTCATTTTGATGAAGAATGTCAAACCTGCATGTTTTACATAACAATTTACATACCTAATAGCAACTGGCACTGATTGCAAGAGAACCCTCGCAGCCATTATAAACTTATATAACTACGAATGATTACAATGTTTGTCTGAAAACTGGTTGCTGGAAATAGAAGTAAAATTAATGTACTATGAACAGCTTTGTTGCATTATGCATTGGTTCAGATTAAATCAAGGCCGAGGCAGGGCTCTTGATAGCTTTGAAACAGTGCAAGGTTCAATGAGGCTTCTTGAACGTGTTGTGTCAAAGAGCCTTTTAAAATTGATTTTATTTTATTTTTTTATTTCTCTTACCAAGGAATTACTTGAAGTCCAATTTTCCCCTCTTGTAAAAGAATCAAATCCATAGCAGTCCCAGTATTTGGTACAAGTGAACAGGGTTGCTAGCGATTTGACATAGTTGTTTAACAACATAAACATATGCAAACCCTGGAAAGAGAAATCTGTTTAAAAGAAGTATTTTTGCAATACCATACAGGCGAGTTAGGGGACTTAGTGGACTCATTTCCTCTGTGATGGAGTATCTTCCTTCCCTTTGATCTGTTGTATCACTGATGCCTCAAGGGTGAAATATTTTTTCTGCTCACTGCAAGGCACCACATGTTAGTGAAATACAGTATGAGTTTTTTATATAGTGCTGCCATCAGGCATTCTATTAAAAAGATAATCATATATTAACTTAGCTGTTATTAATTGATTATGAAGAGATTTTATCTGAAGGAAGCATATATTATTACCCAATGGCTTCTTTCTAAGGGTTGAACCAGACCAGCCCCAAACTGGAAAATTCCCACAGTTCCCCCAAGGACACTGTAACTTAGCTCCTCTCCGTCTGCTGATGGCAACAGGACGCAAACTGTGTTGTCCTTTATCCTAAAAGTAGAACCATTTCCGAATTTGTGACTGTTCTTTAGAAATATTTTAAGTGGTAATAATATATCCTGTTATTGAGTGCCCTTTGGCAAATTGTTTCCTAAGAACTCAGATTTCTGGGGTATGTTAGTATTTCTTTTCTTTCTTTTTTTTTTTTTCTCTTTCTCATTGAAAAACAAAACAAAACAAAAATGTTTTAATTGACATTTCTTGGAAATATGTTAATGCAATGCTTATCTAAATACTTATTGTCCCTCTAACAGTTAACCTTTGGACTATGTTTCAAGCTGCTCAAAAACTGGGAGGATATGAAACAGTAAGTGTTTAAGCAACTTAAATGAAATAATTTTGCAATCTAAACCCCTCCCCCCCCCTTTGACCAAAATAGAGACAATACGAAAGCAGACCATCACTGACTGCCTTTTCCAATGGCTCTACACTTTTGGGGGTTTATTGGGCCGCTTTTGGAAACAGTCCCAATTAGTTCCAGGTTTGGCAAAATTGTAAACTTGTCGTAAAAGCTACAAGTGGAAAACATATGTAACTCTCCCCTGTCAGGGAAATTAGTTGGGTCTGTAATTTTTTCCCATGTTGAGAAAGGGCTATTATTGTACAACAAGCCAAGATTGCATAAAAGAAATTTCCCTTGGCAACATACCTGACATCTGCTCATGTCTAATATGGGAAATGTATTAAAGGCTTTCAGAAGTAATCAGTATTGGCCATTAAGGAATAAAATGCAGCAAATCTCCTCTCATTCTGGGGCAGAGCGGCTTTATTAGACAAGGGTCAGTGCCGCATAAACAGGAAGTTATCAGACTTATTCAGAACAGGCTCTGACACTCTTTATCAGCTAATTCTAACTGACAGGAACGGGTTATTTTTAGCTCACGGGACAATTTGATGGCCACGGATTTTTATAGCTTGTATTTTGAACCAATAAAATGTTAGAGCAGCAAACTAAGATTAAAATCTTGAAGGAAGAAGAAAGAGCTGCATTAATATAGCACACAGAGATGACATCTGTAATAAAATCAGTTGACATAGGAAGATGTCGTCATTGGAAATATTTTCTCCTCCACACAATGATCAGATTAAGTTGTGCAGTTTCTTCTGCAATTGAATAAGAAATTGTTGTTTCTCTCCTTACGAAGTAACCTGGGATATCTCTGTATCATAGTAAAATGACAGTAAGAGACACAAAATCAAGAAAATGAAATTCATTTTAGCCCAAACATAATAACTAGTGTTTCTGGCCAGATACAGCATATTGTTCCACAAACTAACTGAATAGTTGGATGTCAGGAGCTGGGGACGGGAAAAGATGGCAAACATTATATGATTCAGATAGTCTGGTATTTACTATAGAGATATCTGCTGTGAATTCTGACTAAAAACTCTTTGAGTAGGTGTGCATGTAATATTTTTAGTTAATATATGGGCTACACATACATGTTTGTGAGGAAATATAATACTGATATGACCTACATGTAAAATGTGCATTTTATAGGCATGAATTTACTTAAAATACTTGTTTTATCAAGTGCCCTATGTAAAAATAAACAGTGTTATTTTTTCACTTGGTTGGATCTGTTGAGGGAACAAAGGATGGACTCTTTGCCACTGTGACTCATAGTTTTGCAAAATCTTGAGCTAATTATAGCTTTCATCTATGTGAAAAGGATGATATCTTATTCAGGGTTAGTCTCATAAATTTAGGAATCGACCCCATAGCCTAGACTTTTAAGTCTAACTTTTCGTGTTAAGAATAGTAGTATACATTTTTATGAACTGTGACTACAGATAAGTTACATGATATTGCACAATATTATGAAATGTCTTTTTAAATCCAGGAACTTGTTGTTATTCACTGATAAGGAGAGTGCTAGCAAATTTCACAGAATCAGTTTTTCCTGCTTTTGTATCTTCTGTATCTTCACAAGGACTTTTTTTCCCATGAAACTGCAAATTGGTGTCGAATATACAAAAGAAACTTCTGCTAAGTTTCAGGGCATTTGCAGTACTCTTTGAACAAGTAATACTTATTCTTTTGTTGGATGAATGAATGAATGAATGAATGATCACACAATTAGTAAATCACCTAAACACATACAGGGTGGGGCAAAAGTAGGTTTAGAGTTGTTCATATGGAAAAAAATATAGTAATTAATAAATAATAACACAAGAATAAACTCTGTTTCACATAGTGTAAAACTACTTTTGCCACATCCTGCATTTATTGAGTGTCTTTTGTGTACAAGGCATTGTGTTGGGCATTCTGGGAGATGCAAACATATCTAGGCCAGTAGTTCTAGTTGCTTACCATCCACAAGAGGTGGCAATAAGAGATACATAGAAAAGATCCTGCACCTCCTCATTTAGAGATGAGGGAAGGAAGACTTATTACTCTGATGACAGTTGAGCAGAATTTTGGAGAATAGATGGAATTTAGACATGACAGATCATGGCCTTCCAGGAAGAGAAAATCAAATGGGGAAATAAAACTTGGAGGTAGAATAAGGTTGGGCATAGAGAGTTTAAGTCACGTAAAGATGAGTGACTAGTTGGCCAGGATGAATGACCATGAGAGAAGGATGGAGCCTAGTGAGTAGAGATCTTGGATGCTTAGGCCCCAGAGTTCTTCATCAAGCAGCAGGGGGGATACCTTGGAGACTGTTATGCTTTGCCATTTATTCTGCCTTCACTGTGTGTGAAGGTGGAGTGGAGTACTGGCCAGGATGAATGACCATGAGAGAAGGATGGAGCCCAGTGAGTAGGGATCTTGGATGCTAGGCCCCAGAGTTCTTCATCAAGCAGCAGGGGGATACCTTAGAGACTGTTATGCTTTGCCACCTATTCTGCCTTCACTGTGTGTGAAGGTGGAGTGGAGTAGAGAGAGGCTGGGATGGAGGGATATGGAAGACCAGATTGGTGTCTGCCTTTTATCTGGTTATGAGTTTCATGTCACTTCAGCAAATCCACATGAGGACTGGTGATCTCTTCGATGGCTCTTTCCCCTTCCATTTCCATTCACACTTCAACTCCTCATTGTGCATTGGATCCCTCCCATTCTTCAGAACACTCCGGATTTTTTCATCTCACCTCAGGCAGGGAATCTCCATAGCCATCTTTCTATGAAATCTTCATCTGAGGCCATAAACTAGATGAAGCTAATTGGTGGGATTTTTTTTCTTTCCTCGCTCTCTCCCTTCCTTCCTTCTTTTCTTTCCTCCCTTTTTTTTATATGCCTCATGTAGGCACTTAAGGTTGCCACTCCCATTCCACACTTAAGCTTTTGAATCTCCTAAGTGAAGAATAAGTTTTTCTTTTGGTATATTTTGGCTAATAAAATTGTGAGAAGTTCAGTGAGAATTCAGTTTTGAAGTTAGTCCAGAAGCTGTATGAATAATATCCAAAGCCTGGGGACTTAAGTTGTCATCACAGTGCTACCAAAGGACACTTATCTGTGAGATTATCTGATACCAGAACAACTATAGACTTGTCATTTAGAGCTCAAAAGAGATCTTAGAATCGTCTAGATCAGTGCTTCCCAAAGGTTACTCCACAACTGGGGTTCAAATTTTCAATGGGGAACTTTAAAGTATAAGCCATTGTCTAGGCCTCCACACTGAAATATAAACTTTGTTGTAGGGCCTGAGCCTGAGAACCTGAGATTCCCTTTTCTTAAGCTGTCCAGGTGAGGTTAATTCAAAGCTAAGTGTAACAGTGATTATTAACACTTCACCTCATGGGTCATAGCTTCAGAATGGGACCCCATTTAAGTCAAATGTCGAAGATTAGAAAGCTATCTTCAGGCCATTACTAAATAAACATCCAACATATTAACATTTTGTTGACTCAAAAGAAGCCAAAATTTTCCCAAGAGTATTTTTCCATTTAGTCAATGGTCATCTAAATTGGGACTCAGTAAGCTATTTTCATTTTGAATAAGGGAAAGTGTAGCACCCTAACATTTTTTATTTTTCACAAATTGGCCTTTGTGTAGAAAAAGATCCTCCCCATGTTCCAGCCCCAGCCTTTGTTTTACAAAGGAGGAAACTGAGGTACAAGGAGATGAAATTATTTGCAGGGATCATCATGGCATTCTCCCAGTTCTGACAGCTGAGAATGTTGTGTACAATCATGTTACCCTCCATAGCCACTGAAAGTTAAAGGAGATTCATAAATGATCATTCTTTGAGCCTTCCATTCTCAGCAGTCTCTTATGTATCCAGATTGCTTTCTACATAATGTGGGTGATTCTTGGAAAAAAGATTTAATAACCTACCTTTGTTGATAGCATCTTTTAGCCAGTTCTTCGTATCTAACAAGATCCTTAGCAGATAAACTGCTACCTGCTGAAACTATCTGATTCTTGAGAAAAATGTGTGAATTTAGGAGATGGGGGTCAAGAAGTCTGGATGGTGTAAATATTCAGCAATAGTAAAAAATTTCAAGTTTAAAATTTGTAAATGTATCTCTTCTGCACTTAACTTGTGATTGGATAAAGACGTCCGTCCCTCTGGAATTCCTTCTGGTTATAAAAAGAGGCCATCTTAATTGGTTTGTTTTTGTTTGTGGTTATAAGCTATTTCAAATCTTCTGGTTTGAATTGTGGATTATGGATTATTTCATTTCAGTTCTTCAGTACCCTCAAATTTAATTTAAAAGAGAAAGAGGAGCAAAAGTTTTATTTTAAGCCTTTATAACATTTGACTAGTGGCTATATTCGGTTCTCTTGGGGTCCTCTACCTTTGCTGGAAATGTATATTGTGTCTCTGCATCCTTAAATTTAGAGATCATAAATATATTGAATGGATTTGATTTCCGAAAACAACAACAACAATATCCTGGCATTTTGATTGTTTGGCAATGAGGACCCTTCCTTTGCAGTCCTATATCCAACTTCTTCCACACATTTTAGAGTTTTGGTACTGACAGTTGAGGATGCAGAACTGGATAAAGTTGCTGATGAGCTAAGAGGCCTGCACTTCAGTTTCTGGTGAAGCAATTAAAGCTCGCAGGGTAGCTTGGGGTATTAGCAGGATGCATCGAGTTGAAGGTGGTTTGCTAAAGTGATTTCCATTTGGCTACCCGTTTGATGGCATGCCAGAGGCAGTATTTGGAAAGAAGGTAGTAGAGCAGGGAGTTGGGTCTTAAGTAAATCTAGAGGCAGAAGACCATGCACGTGGTGCCTTTGGAGAATGTCAGCTAGCAGCCCCCATCTTCCCATGGGTGAGACAGGACCATTATTTCTCATCTGGAAGGAGTTGCTTATCTTCTTGCTGGAAGGATTAGGCTTTGGCATGAGATTCTGACTTTGAAGAAAGATGACAGTAAGTGACAAAAATGACAGAAATTCTGTCATTTCATGACATCCTCTCAATCTACTAACCCTAGTTCTCTGGACAGACAAAACCTCTTGCTTAATTCAAAACTTTTGAGGCCAAAGATGATGTCATGTAGTTTTGAAAGGCTCCAGTTCCTGGAGTACTACCAGGAAAAAAAAGTCATCCTCCTTTAATTCAGTCCACCCTCAAGGTGTCCTGAGAAAGACGCTGTTTCTCAGAGCAGCCTGGGCAGCACCGCTTGCCGGAAAACTCTGCTTTTGACTTCATATTTCCTGCACATTCTTAAGCCATGGAAACTCCAGAGTCCTAAAAGATCTCTGATTGCAGTTTCCTCACCAGGCCACAGCAATGCCAAGATTATTCATCCCTGCAGCCTCAAAGGGAGCAAAATCAAGGCTCGAAGTCTGTGTCTTGGGTTAAAACAGTTGTCCGGTTTTTCTTAAGTGACAGGATATTTTCATCAAGTAAAATCGTGGAAGGGACCATTCCTTTCCCACGCACTGGACCTGTTTTCTTGACAGGGGTGGGCAAGGTGAAGAGTTAGCTTCGGGCCACCTTTACCACATCGCCTGGGTTCTGAAGCGCAGTTTGAGAACCACTGTACTTACGGGCAGTGAAACTTCATGAACATAAAAGGTGTGGAGTGCTTTTCAGAGTTTCTTGGGTCTTACCGCACTCGGGAAAGAAGTAACTGTCGAGTGTCTTCCAAGTCTGATTGGGGCTCACACACACCTAGATTGGTTTATTTCACTTGGGCGTGGTCTGCTCAGCTTTTCATCTTGCTTCATGGTTCCTTGTATGGCGCTGTGCTTCCTGCTAAATTATGACCCCTTGAAAGCTGTAACATCTCTTTCTGTTCATGATGCCTTCCCACCCTCAACCCTCCACCTTCATGCCTCTGTACCTGACACAGCGCCCTAAGACAGGAAGCACTAGCAGCTGGGTTGCTGTCCTGAACCCCTTTCATCAAAGTGAGGACCTTGAAGGAGATGACAGGAGAAGCACAATCCAAGAGAAATAATTGCCGGATGAATTTGGCCATTTTCTAAGGAAACAAAGAGCCAGGAGTTCTTTGTATCTTTAAAAATCTAAAATAAATAGAAGGTGAAGTTGAAACGTGAACATGACCAGGAGGCCTGAAGCTTAGGGAAAATTGATCAAACTAACCCCTTGGCTAGATCACACTTCACCGCTAAATGGGGCTGGGGGCTGGATACCAGGAAGCAGAAGGCGGTTCTGTCCCAGATAGGGTCTAAAGCTAACACACATCCAGAGAGCACATTGAACAACAGAATAAAAACCCTAAGCAAATGAATAATTAGGCCCGAGGCAGGCATATTAGAACAGAAGGCAGATTTATACAGGTGGGAGCACGATGCCCAGTAGCTGGGCCAGGAGGAGTTCTCAGGTTTTTTTCCTCTCTCCTTATAGGGCCGTGTGACCCATTATAAAGTTTGGATAATGGGAGGATGCAGACATTTCTTGCGTTAGAGCCTGTGGTCAGCATTTGTATTAAAAGTGCACCTGGACACACACAAAAATAAAGTTGGGCACCTAGAAGAACTGTGCACTTAAAAGCATTTCGCAGTTGGAAAGAGCACATTTGATGACTTTCCTGTGGAAAGAAAATGTCTCAAAATGGCCCGATTCATCCAGGCTGGCCAGTGGACCCTAGGGAAACAGAGAGACCTCTTCCTCGGAGGCCAGGCCCTTGCTGTCTTCACTCCAGATGAGTCCTCACTAGTGAAAACTGTATTTAAAAACGGGAGCCTGCTGGCTTGGGGCTAACACAGACCCCTGGCGTGCTGCTCACGGCTTGTTAGCACCAAGGGGAGCTTGATGCTGGCTTCCTGCTGCCACATTTCAATTCGAGAGGGAGGAAGATTTTTGTTTCCCTTTTGACGATTCATTATTTATTCTTAAAGAAGTTGTGTCATCTCTGTGATAGGCAAGTATTTAACAGGGCATTCCCTAGTCTAGGTGGTAGGATGTGGGAGGGGGACATGGTCAGTTTCCAAAATTATCCCTATCAGCAGTGGTCTCTTCTTCATTACATTTTACACAATCTGTATTATTTTGTGTAGGTGTTTGGTCAATTGTTTATTGCTGACACCACCCCCCCCGTCCCCTCCCCCTCAAGGATGCAGTCATGTTGGGTCTGGTTGTCATTGTTGCATCTCAGCTGCTAGCACAGTGCCCAACAGATGGGAGATGTTCAGTACATGCTGAATGAATGGGTGTGTGCATGGATGGATTCAGATATAACTGGAACTTATCCGTGACTCTGTGGTGACCATCATAGTAAAACCTCTGTTCTGTCTAAAGGCAGGAGCAGCCAGGGCAGAAGGAACCATAGTTTTACTGGGTTCTTTAAGAGTAACATTGTAGAGCATTATTAACCTAGCCCACCCCCTTGGATTCTTGCTGACCTCGTAGTTAGGCTCTTTGCCCACTAGGTCAAAGTTGAGAACTTGTAGCAGAAGTTATACTTCCCACAGTCATCTGCCTCACTTGAAGCAAAGGGCCCCTGGAGTTCTGTATTATCACCCCGCTCCAACCATGGGCTATTCAGGAGGTCATTCTGATATGGAGGCTGCTTTGATGTCACAGGAAAAGGTCTTCTCTTGGGACCATAAGACATCAGTATGAACCTTGGTTTTGCCATTCTGCTGCTGTGTACCCTTGGGCAAGTCATGCAACCTCTCCCTTCCTTCTATAATCTGCCTCACAGGCTGATGGGAGGATTAAATGACATTATGAATGTGAAATCTCTTTATAAAATATGAAATGCAGTGTACACGAGATCCAAGAGTGACGGGAGTGGTGGTCTGTTGTGAAGTGATTGCAGGGACACATGCAGGCTGTTTCCTGGCCCTGCTGGACTCCCAAGGCCCACACACCTCATCTGAGAGAGGATTCTTCTTCCTTCTTTCTTCCTGATTCTCGCAATGGCCAGCCTGAAATTGTATTCTTTAAAAGGCTGGAGGGAGCTTGTCATTAAATATAACATAACTACCAAAATATGTATTTTGAGTGTTTTGAAAGGGGCTTGAAACCGTTTATTATAATCGAAACCAAGCCACAAATAAATTTTTAGCTACACCTGCTAGTGGAGGTAAAGGTGGTTCTTTCTAATGAGAACTATTGGAACAAATTGGTTCAAGAATGATGGACGTGAAATTCAACAATGCAGAACTCACATTGTCTCGAGGTCCCACTGGGGCCTGTTGAGAAGGCTTTACAGGAATGAGGGGGTTCTCTTGATTTGAAATGGAAAAGATACCTCTTACCTTCTAATGTTTAACCACCCTTGCCCTCCTCCGTAAAGATTACAATTTCAAGCCCCTGGTTGCAAGTGCAGAGTTCTTCTCCCTGGATTACTGTCTTTAGCCCCTAAGTGGACTCCATGGGCAGCTCTGGGGGTATTTTTCACAAGAAGCCTCCTGCTCTGATTGTATTAAATGCCAGGGCCCCGTGGCCACGTCCTCCACATTCCACTCACAGTTTTCCTGTGATCTAATTTGGAAACTTTCACGGGGGCCTTAGAACTTGTTCTGTCTTCCTAGTTCAAGGAAACACTGGGCTTGCTGGGATGTCACAAATGATGGGGTTTCCCGCAATTCATCATCTGCCAGATCACGCATCTGCTATTTCATAAAATCTTAATTTACATACGAAAATAGAATGAAAGAAAAATAAATAAATAAAACAAGACCATAGTGTGCCGTTCAGTATGTCGCAAGCTGTTTGTTTTAATTCACCTAAATCAAAAATGTACATAGCTTGCCTTTTAACTTTGGAATATGTTCCTTTTCATAGGATTTGATTGATACCCCATTTTCCCAATCTAAGTGAATAAAAATAAACAGCTTGCGTGACATGTACAGTTGTAGATTTTGATTTGGTGGTTAGAGGAGCTGTCATAAAAATGTAGCTCGAAATGACTGCAAATTCCATCACCAACTTGATCAGTTTAATTAGTTGATGTTGTAATTTATTTAGTTTTTAAAGTAGGCAACATATCACAGAGTTCAAAAGTCAGAAGATACAAAAGCATGTTTGGTGAAGAGGGTTTCTCTTCACGTGGCCACGCTTTTCCACACCCCTCGAGCAACCTGTGTTAATTCTGTTCATTTATACTGAGGTACTAAGATATATTTTAGGAAAATTTTCTTTTCTTTTGATGCTGTACCACATGACATCAAGGAACAGAGTACAAGTTTGAGACCTTGGGGGGCAAATAACTTCATAAGTATCAAGGGAGATGCCTTGGATGAAAATACACTAAGGGTGACAAAATACAGAGCCAAAGGTAGAATTCCATTTTTATTGTAAAGTGAGAACTCACTGTAAAACCATGTCTCCCCATGTACCCACTTGGACTTCCCTGTTTCTGGGTTTCCAGAGCAGACCATTCTCCTCTGACTGTTGCATATGTATTGAATCCTGCCACTGCGAATCTCTTACGATGCAAGATTGAATTTCCCATTGCCATTCTTTCAGATAACAGCCCGCCGTCAATGGAAACACATTTATGATGAATTAGGCGGTAATCCTGGGAGCACCAGCGCCGCCACGTGCACCCGCAGACATTATGAAAGGTAAAAAAAAAAACAACACCAAAAAACTTTTTTTTTTTGAATTTTGGAAAGTCCTTGCTTAATTGAAAGTGTGTTAATTAGATGGCATTTCTGGTCAGGGATTAGACCAGAGGGAAAGGACCTTTTAGGAAACAGAAAAATATCCCGCTAGCATTTTCCTTTGCATACCTCCTTGTGATTTTTAAGGGACATGGCTTTCTCTGGTTACTGGGGCTAAAATTAGATGTTCTTTTAAGTTTGCTTTTATCCTGTGACCACCTGCCTGACAATACTGTCCCTCCCCAACCCCAAGCATAGATTACTCAATATGTTCTCTGAGAAGCTTTAGAATCTAGGAAACACAGGTCTGCATTGTTACTATGAGGTCGCCATGTAACTATATTAACATTGAAATGTCTTAATGCTGAATGTATTAATATTGCAAAGTAGGCATTTCTTTAATAAGGAAATTGGCCTGAGATAAGATCTTTTGTTTTCTCCCATCTTGGTATTTTTATTCTATGGCTATGCTTTTGACCTGGGAAATTCTTGCTTGCCAATCTCTGTGAGGTTTGGTTTTCTAATAACTAAAGTTTCTTCAGGAAGGTGATGATAATGCAAACAAGAAGTAATCAAATTAGACTAATCTGAGGGTTGTCTCCACAGGAGTATTTTCCCTTTGAATTAGGGCTGTGATACCCAACATCGAAGACCAATTAGCAAATCCAGGCATTATCCTTGCTCTGTGCTTCAAGCCCATACCTTATTTATTTAGGTCACACCAACTTCTTTATCAATGGCATTTCCCTTCTGAAGTGTCAACTGACTTAGCTCTCTGATTTCAAATTCAGAGCTTGTGAGATCCAAGTAGAAGCTGGATAGTTCATAAAGGTTTGGTTCCCCACTGGATTACATTTTTTAAAAATATGTTTTTATTGATTTCAGAGAGAGGAAGGGAGAGGGAGAGGGAGATAGAAACGTCAAGGATGAGAGAGGACCATTGATCGGCTGCCTTCTACATGCCCCACATGGGGGATTGAGCCCGTAAACCAGGCATGTGCCCTGACCGGGAATTGAACCCTGCCCTCCTGGTTCATGGGTCGATGCGCAACAGCTGAGCCACACCGGCAGGGCTGGATTACATTTTCTTAAAAAGTTTTGTCTTTGAATTATGAATTTGTCTACCAGTAAAGAAAACACAAAAATCACACCAGGTATTCAACAAAGAAAATTTACTATTGGGGTTGCTTAAACAAGTGTTGGTGTGAAGCACTACATTAATATGAAGATAATAATCAGTTTTCTTAGGGCTGGGAGAATAGAGAAAAGAGGTGTTGCCATCCAGATGTTCAGAGAGTGGGCCTCACAGATCTGGGGTTCAGATAAAAAAGTTTTGTCTTTGAATTTGAATTATGAATTTGTCTACCAGTAAAGAAAACACAGAAACCACACCAGGTATTCAACAAAGAAAATTTACTATTGGGATTGCTTAAACAAGTGTTGGCGTGAAGCACTACATTAATCCGAAGGTAATAACCAGTTTTCTTAGGGCTGCGAGAATAGAGAAAAGAGGTGTTGCCTTCCAGATGTTCAGAGAGTGGGCCTCACAGATCTGGGGTTCAGATCCCTTCTGGGGAGAGGCACCCAACCTGTGCTGGTGCTTCAGAGGAGGAGCCTGCGGAGCTGGGCTCAGACCTAGGAGGCTGTGCTCCCTGGAGGGTGCTCTGCCTCAGAGGAAAGGCATTGAAAGAAGCTAGAGGCTGGAACCAACTGCTGCTGCTAAGTTACTGTTGGGTTGGCACTGAAATGAACAGCAAGCAAAATACAAAGAAAGAGGTCCCTCCTCCCCTGACCTGGTAGGGCCCCATTTGCAGAACCCCAGTGAGAAGAGAGCTGACAAATGAGACGTAATTTACAGAGCCCCAGTCCCAGCATCACCAAACAGAGCACAGAGGGTGGAATTGGCGATGAGACATTAATCCCACTGCTAAGTGGGAATCCCTGTGCAGAGCCTGGGCCCAGGGTAGAGCACAGCTGGCCCCAGGTGATTAGCAAGGTCTTGAACCCTGCCTTGGCATTTCCCTTTGCCATCTAGGCCCCTCACATTGTGGTGATCAGATACAAGGTGTCTTGAGTAATTAGTAATTAGTACAAGTTAAGTGCCCAAATTTGCAAATGATTGATTTAAAAAAATATAAATCAGCCCGGCCTGTGTGGTTCAGTGGTTGAGAGTTGACCTATGAACCAGGAATTTATAGTTCCATTCCCGGTCAGAGCACATGCCTAGGTTGTGGGCTAGATCCCCAGCAGGGGGGCGTGCAGGAAGCAGCCAATCAATGATTCTCTCTCATCATTGATGTTTCTATCTCCCTTTTCCTTCCTCTCTGAAATCAATGAAAAAAAATATATATTTTAAAAAATAAATAAAATTTAAAAATCAGACTCTATGTAAAATAATGCCACTCTCCCTCATTTGAACCTATCATGATTTTAAAGGAGTCAGCCATGCTCCTGCGTACCGTAGGAGGAAAGTTTAGGAACTACTGATCTCAATGGCTTACTTCCCTTTAATGGTTTCAGCAGAGAAGGGCAGAGGACACTCCAATCTGTCCAGGGGCCTGAAAAAGTTCTGCTTTGGGTAAAGAAGCTCTTGGCTAAAACTGTACTTAGTGACCAAGGCCTATTTCATTCATTCTTGCAAGTCACAGGCTATGCTAACACAATTAAAACAGGTGACTAGACTGATGAAGGACCACCATTTTCAAAAAGGGTTCAAGGAGTTGGAAAGAGTCAGGATGTTGTGGGCAAACGTCTAGCAGAAGATGTTTTTGGAAATTTGTAAGTCCTTTCAAATCAGATCAAAGCCTGAGGGGTGTTTTCCTCTGTCGCTGGTTCCTCTGGTCTCTCATTCCTTTCACGCTGGTATAGACACTTGGTCCTTTTCCAGTTTCCCTACCCCCAGCTTTATTATCCTAGAACAGCGGTCGGCAAACTGCGGCTCTCGAGCCACATGCGGCTCTTTGGCCCCTTGAGTGTGGCCACGAAATTTCAATCGCACTGTACGTGTGCGCCCGCACGTGGTATTTTGTGGAAGAGCCACACTCAAGGGGCCGCAGTTTGCCGACCACTGTCCTAGAAGATGAAGAAGAAATGAGTGATCTCCTATGCATTATCCACTGATTTATTTTTCATGCGGTGTGGCTCACGTTTCCCGTAAATGTTTTCATTTTCCAACAAGAAGAGGAAAAAAAATAGCAGGTTCCTCAGTAAATGTTGCTTGTGTATTAGTTGTGCACTTTTGGTTTATTAATGAGTGTAATAATGAAAGTGCGAGTTGTTGAAAAGAATCAATGGGTGTTTTTATTTAAGGCATAGTAGGAATGGTACAATGCCTGTGAATGCATCATTGTTGCTGAAGGCCTGACGCGTCCACACTTGCCTCTGATTGGCTTAAATCAAATGGGTCCAAGCACTTCATAAAAATGTCTTTGTCAGCCTGCTTTTGCTTCCAAACCTATTCATCTCTGTCAGTTTTTAATATTAGTACCAGGCTCCTGGCCATAGTCCATTAGTACTGTACTTAATTGCTCATGTTACAGCTGATCACCAATATAAAAAGCATTAACGTTTCCCCATCGTGAGACCGTTGCTATGTAGATGTCTCAAACTCAGCAAAGCTTTTGAAGTGTGGCTGTTCTGGACATTTCTTGCTGAGGATTTATAGATAAAAGTTACTGTAGATGATAATGCAAAGAAAAATGTCCACCTCTGGGGCAGGACCCTTTGAAGGGGAAGATTTTCTTCCTTCCTCAACCCTTTATTTAAGGTGCCCCCACATGCTCACTTCCATCAGCCAAGGAACAGAAAGGGAAATGATTACTTTTATGGAATTCTCTTAGTTTGATTTTTCTGGGACAGTCATTCACTTTAAAGGCTTTGTTTTCACATGCAGATTTGTTTTCTTTCCTTGGGGGCAGGACCCTTTGAAGGGGAATATTTTCTTCCTTCCTCAACCCTTTATTTAAGGTGCCCCCACATGCTCACTTCCATCAGCCAAGGAACAGAAAGGGAAATGATTACTTTTATGGAATTCTCTTAGTTTGATTTTTCTGGGACAGTCATTCACTTTAAAGGCTTTGTTTTCACATGCAGATTTGTTTTCTTTCTAAATGTTTTTGAGCACGTGCAAGGGGGGGATCTTTACACAGAATACCAGATTACAGGTTTTGATTTTCCTGAATATAAATTACAAGGTCTGTTTCTGTAGGGCACATGAAGTTGTTATTAGGGATTGAAAAAGAAGCAAAACATACTTTATGCTGTGTTTTTCTGAGTATTTCGAGAATCAAAATCATAAACAAAGTATTTGTTTGGGGGGAGGAGTGAGGGTGAGCAATTACATTTCACCTTGTTGCAGACTTCGTGCCCAATTTCAAATTCTAACCTTTTGCTCTTCCCATAAGCATTCCTCGGGCAGGACTATCCTGCCGCGTGGCTCAGGCAGCTTCCTTTGCAGTGTCTTGGGGTGAGCTGTACCCAAGCCAGATGCATTCAGGCAGAATCCGGGTGACAGTCAGCTGGAGCTTCGGCCTTTTTCCTCTGAAGTTGGAAGGCCGGGTGTGGGAGGTTTGTGTTTTGAGGGAGATAAGTATGTGCTTTAAGGTAAATGCCAAAAATATATCAGGTTCCAAGGAATTCAGCTAATTATATTGTGGGAAAAGGCCAGGGGAAAGTAAGGTGAGTTACAATCCTGTTCGTGTCTGTTCATGCCCAGGACATTGGTGTATCCTTGCTCATTTTGACAGCCTTGAAGTTAATTGATGCACAATGCAGAAAGTCCCAGGCGGGGTGGCAGCCTTTTAGATTTGAGAGGTCCCTGAGCCATCTTCTAGGCCAGTGTTGCCCAGTGAGGTTTTCTGACCAGTCTGTGAACTGTTGGCTACTAGGCCAGGGTGAGCCAAGCACAGCAACTGCAAATAAGCATCGATACACTTATGGAGCAACCTGCCAGAATAACTTTG